CAAATACACAACCTGTATGCATATAAGTGCCAATAACAGTGATGGAGCTAGTGATAATTCAATCTGTGATAACAGACCAGTTCAGAGGATAAAAGCACAAAAAGCATATTTTTCCCTCCTGCCTTAAAGTCTACTTAGTGCACTTGGACAAACTGATTCCTGTGAGTAACTTTTTGAGGCACATACGAATGCTAATGCAATTTTTAGAAGAATAATGAAAATGGTACCACAAATATGATAGATGGCGGTATACAGTGCCCGACACATTCATAAAATCTGCTGCGTATTTTGATCAGACTGAAAAAAACACACACAAAATTTGAAGAGAAAGTGATAAAATTCTCAAAAAAGCATTATTTTCCCAAGTTAAAAGTTAAAATCCCCTCCGCGATCGCTTTTCGTGGGTGAAGAAGGACAATGGAATGCAACCCGAGCGGTGGAAAAGGTGACCACTCGCTGGCTTGCCTTTTAAATGTCCCCTTCCTCACCTTTTCGCATAAATCCCCCTCCTCCCAATCTTTTTCAAGGACTATGCCGATAGCTTTGGTTTATATATTCCTGAAGAATTTGAAATAAATACGAACTGTTCAGGGTTTTGCTGCTGAACCATCATTTTTGCCGTTTCACGTAAATAAATTTCCCATTCTGGGACCGGAATTTCTTGGTTCTCTTTGAATGGATAGCTGAAAATTTTTTTTTTCAATTAATTTAAAGCTTTAGTAGATACGATGAAAGCAGAAGAATCTTGGGAAAAAAAAAAAAGAAAAAACAGGAAGCAGGGCATTTTTCATTTCACCAGAACATGTTCGAAAGGACCCCAAATTCCATTTCGAATCTTTTTTAAGCTGAATATGGCAAAATTTTGTGATTTCAGCAAGAGGAATCTGAGGCAAAATTTACTGCTGTACTTTGGCAGCTTCAATTGCAAGTATCGCTCGCCGCATGTTGCCGTTTGCTTTTTGTACAACAGCTTGAACGACATGCTCCGGAACAGTGACGTTTTCTTGCCGGCAAACCTCTCCGATAGCTTTTGCGACCTTAAAAAATAGATTGTACGGCGTCCAGCAAAAATAACAGACATTTTAAATTTTACCATTAACAATCTAACCAGTTAAAATATACGCACCGATTATTATGGCCTAAATTCATTTT